TTACAGAAGGGTCATGGGGAGAAGATGGGCCAGTCAGGGTGCAGTACAGCACTGATGAAACATACAGCTTTCCTCTGGTTCTTTAATGCTTCCTCCCCCACCACTATCATGACCCTATTTCTACCTTACAAATCTGGTTAGACCAGAGCATGTACATGGGTACAGATAAGTGCTGGAAACACAGGGAATACGGGACAGATAATCCTTGGGAACAATATTGAGAGTAGCCATACCAGGAGGGGAAGGGGGAGGTGGGGGGAGAGAAGGGGAATGATCACAATGACCTACCTATAACCCCTTCCCAGGGGGATGGACAACAGACAAGGGGATAAAGGGAGTCTTCGGGCAGTGCAAGACATAAGAAAATAATAATTTATAAATTATCAAGGGTTCATGAGGGAGGGAGCAGGAGGGAGGGGGAAAAATGAGGAGCTGATTCCAAGAGCTCAAGTAGAAATAAAATGCTTTGGAACGATGATGGCAACATATGTACAAATGTGCTTGACACAATGGATGTATGCATGGATTGTGACAAGAGTTGTACGAGCCCCCAATAAAGAGATGAAACCACGAAGCACCTCCTGCCAAGCGTGCACCATGAGAACAGTATGCTGAGTGAAGTTAGTCAATCCCAAAAGGTGAAATATTGTATGAGACCACTACTTCAGGATAAAAACCAAGACGAAGACTTACATACCAAATGGAATGCACTTTGGAGGCTGCCAAGGGAGGGTGTTTTCAAGGGCCTCATATGCATGTGGAAGTTGGACACTGAATAAGGAGGATCAAAGAATCTCTGTGTTAGGACGACGGTGCTGACAAAGAATACTGAAAGCACCATGGACTCCCAAAAGAACAAACAAACCTGTCTTGGAAGAAGTACAGTCAGAATGTTCCTTAGATGCAAGAATAGCAAGACTTCATCTAACAGACTTTGGGCATGTTGTCAGGAAAGCCCGTCGACATCATGCTTGGTGAAGCAGAGGGGCAGTGAAAAAGAGGGAGACCATCAATGAGATGGATGGGCCCCGTGGTGGTAACAATAGTCTCAACGTAAGAACAACTGTGAGGATGCGTTTCATTCTGCTCACACAGGACCGCTACGAGTTGACTGACTCGAGGGCACTAACAACAACTACAAGGACGGGAGGGCAAGGAGGCAAAGAGGAGACAACGAGGCCAACAGGTATCCAAAGGCAGAATGGAGGTCCATAAGAGGGAGAAGAGACAAGAGGGAGGAGGGGTGGGATAGAATCCTCGGGTGAAGGATGCCGATTAAATGCATAGTTGATGTCTGAAATGTAAACCCTCCAACCTAGATCACAATAAAAATCCATTTAAAAAGCATCAAATTAGGCCCCATGTCAGCTATGTGGACAACAGCCCCTCCCCACAGAAGAAGCTACTTGAGAGGACGGCACTGAAGTTGCAGTTAGGGGAGAGAGCATGTCTGACCAGAGCAAATGGGAGCACTTAGGGGGAGGAAGAGAGAGTGGAGCACATCCTGACCCACCAGGCCTGGAGGACGACATCCCCGCTCTGAACAGCC